CCCGCATTTCCCAGTATTGCCCCGTATTTCCCTGTATTGCCTCGTATTTCCCAGTATTGCCTCGTATTTCCCGTATTTCCGGTATTTATTTTTATTGCCCCGCATTTCCCAGTATTGCCCCGTATTTCCCTGTATTGCCTCGCATTTCCAGACATTTCCTCGTATTGCCTCATATTTCCCACATTTCCTAAAATTTCCTCGCATTGCCCCGTATTTCCTCTCAAGTGTACGAGAATTTCCCCAGTGGCAACCCCCTCGGTTGCTAATGTTATTTTTTCAGCTGTAACCACATCAGCAACAATTGGCTTCCTTAAAATTCTCCACCTTTGCACCAATACCCCAAAAGTATTCTCTATAGTTCGTCTAGCCCTTGACAGACGGTAATTAAAAATGCGATTCCTTTCAGGGAGATTTTCACCAGGATATGGCCTCATAATGTGTTCACTCAAGGGAAAGGCAGCATCAGCAACAAAAAAGAATGGCAACATGGTATTTGTTTTGGGCAGTGGTCGATTTGAGGGTAATCCACATTTGTTTTTCAATACAGCTTGTCCAAAACCAGATTCCTTGAATACAGTGGAATCATGGTTACTGCCAGCTGCACCTACATCAACAGCAGTGAACCTATAAAAAGCATCACAACTTGCCATTAAGACAATGCTGTGATGTTTTTTATAGTTGAAGTATTGGGAACCCCCATGATACTTATATACTTCCCATCAATAGCTCCTACACAGTTGGGCATGTTCCATCTGTTGTAAAACCCATTTGATATGTTTATCCATTCTCCTGCTGATGAGGGCGGTTTCAGGTAAATGGGTGATAGAACATCCCATAATACTTGAGTGGTCTCATGAATAATTTTCCATACAGTGGAATGCCCTATCATATGTCCCCAAGCCAGTTCTTGCATTGAACATCCTTCAGCCAAGTAACTAGAGCAAATTATGAATTATTACAAAACATATTCCTAACTGCCAATATCATACTAACTGTAAGGTTATAATCAAACGCTGAGCTACAACTAGTGGGCGCTTTGATTTATCTTTCTGCAGATGAGGCTCAACTAATTTTAGCAGATGTAGAAAAAGTTTTGGGGTCATCCTGCAATACTTGAAGAAACTTTCGTGATCAAACTTTAGCATATTCAGCAAAACGTTATCAAACATTCCTTTTTATTTCCGCTGTCGATTGATTGGTCTTACAGCATATCGCCTAGGTTTCCTCGCTTTCAGGATATTAAATATAATGTTGTTGTCGTCAACAACGTTAGTAACAACATCGTAAGTAATTCGTCTTCCATGATTTTGATGAATTAACTATCAACTCAACTCTCCTAAAAATACAGAATATAAAAAAAAATCAAAAATATAACCTCAGTTCTCAAGGATTAGACAGCTGATAATTATGACATTTAACATTTTAATGCGCTTGCTCGAAATCGACCAATGAAACATAATATCCTTATGATATGACAATGTTGCTTAAATGGCATTTGGTTTTCTTGTGACATAAGCCTTGTGACTTATGACTTATGACTTATGATTTATGACTTATGACTGCTGCATAAATCCACCATAAAACATCGTAAGAAGTACTCAAATATGTCGAAAAAATGGTTACGTGAAGTAGTAAGACAAAATACCAAAAGAAAATTGATAAACTCAAAAGTTGAAACCCAGGTCGAAACTGATGATGAGGCCCATATAGAAGATACTGGTTGCTCTGATATTGTACAAGACAGAAATGAGAACCCATCATCAGTTACCACTCTCCTTACTGTTTTCCCAGAAAGCCATGATATTGTAGAATACAGAAGTGAAAACCCAACAGTTACTTCTTCCCTCACATTTTTCCCAGAAACTCAAGTTATTGTTTCTTCTCCATTAACTGATACTGCTCAGTTCAATATAGTAAAAGCCCAGACATCAGATAACTCTACTACATTAGCAAACGATTTGAGAAATTGGGCAATTGATGGATGCATTTCCAATACGAATTTCAATAAACTCCTTGCTATCCTAAAGAAGCACAAGTCAATGAGTGAATATGAAAATCTTCCATCTGATTGTCGGATTTTGTTGAAAACTAAAAAGTCTGGTACAATTTCAATAGCAGAAAATGGAAAATATTACCATTTTGGCCTATTGGCAGGAATAAATTATATATTGCAAAAGAACAAAGTTGAATTACCTGAGTCACATAATAGTATCAGAATCGATGTCAATGTTGATGGTTTACCATTGACCAAAAGTTCTAAATCCCAATTTTGGCCCATTTTAGGGTCTATAAATAATTTGGAGTGCAGTGATCCTTTTGTAATAGGAGTTTTTCATGGGCATTCGAAACCTGGTAGTGCCTCAGAGCTACTGGGTGATTTTATTAGTGAATATTTGGAAGCCAAAGTAAACAAATTCTGCTATCACAATAAACACTACGAAATCCAAATAGATAAGTTCATTGTTGACATTCCAGCCAAAACCTTTATTTTAGGTGTCAAGGCACATAATGCATATTTTGGTTGCACAAAATGCATAACTGAAGGTACATTCATTAATCGAAGAATGTCTTTTCCTGATTTGAATAGCAGATTAAGGAATGACACAGATTTCAGGAATAATGTCTATGATGATTATCATGATTCTGAAACTCCTCTTTTGAAATTGGACATTGATGTCATAAGTCAGTTTCCCCTAGATTATATGCACCTAGTGTGCCTGGGAGTTATGAAAAAATTATTAACATTTTGCGTACGAGGTAACATAGCTGTGCGATTAAGGAAAGAAGATATTGTGAGAGTTAATTCCAGTATACAAAATTTCAGAAAACATATTGCTAGTAGTGACTTCTCTAGACTTCCCAGAACATTAGATGAAGTTGAACGCTGGAAGGCAACTGAGTTTAGACAACTTTTGTTATACTCAGGGCCAATAGTATTAAAAAATAGGCTGAAGGATTCTCAATATATGCATTTTCTCTCTTTGCATTGTGCTATACGTATTCTAGCTACACCTCATCTTTGTATAGAATATAATTCGTTTGCAAAAGAATTATTGAAATATTTTATAGACAAGTTTTCAACTATTTATGGACGAGAATTTATATCCCACAATGTTCATAATTTAATTCATTTAAATGAAGATGTTCTTAAATTTGGTGCATTGGACAGTTTTGCTGCATTCAAATTTGAAAATTTCATGTTTGAAATAAAAAAGATGTTGAAAACGTCAAAAAATCCTTTGGAACAATTTATCAATAGGATGAATGAAAGAGTTCAATATATGAGGGGAAATAATATTCAGCAAAAGCCATATACTTTAAAAAACAAAATTTGTACTCTGAATGAACCATTACTAGAGGATGAATAGATAAAATCTTTTAATGTCATTGAATTAAAATATATGACATTTGGAATTGGAATGAAAAATAATCATTGCATTTTTAAGCATAATTCAAAAATAGGGATAGCAAAGATTGAAAAAATTGTTGAAGTTATAATAAGTGGTAATGTATTTGTAATTATGAACGAGTATGAAAGTTTCAAGAATTATTTTTCATCTCCATGTTCTTCAAAACTATTTTACGGTGGCTTTGTAGATAATTTGTCAGATGAATCAAAATTGATACCAGTTGAATCAATAATAATAAAATGCATTCATTATAAAACATTAGTAATATCATTAATTTAGATCCTCAGCAGCCTAATTTTTTATACAATAAGTTGTATATAAAATTCGAAATATTAACAAAACCGAAGGCTATATATAGTACACAGACTCATCAAATGTATTACTCCACTATATAATTTCAATTCAGATTTCCTAATCCGAGGGGTAAACCACCTTCGAAAAATGTGTACACCAGAATCCCTGGAATCCCACGGAATCCACCCAGAATTCCACTGGAATTCCACTGAAATCCCACGGAATCCCAGATGCCTGTACACCATAATTCCAAGGTGGTTCACTCATTCGTTCTAATCTTCATTCACTTTCAGAAATTTCTCCTGATGATGGCTTGTAGCCGAATACGTTTGAGAATTCGCTCATAATAAAGTCTGTGTACTATTTATAGCCTTCATTTTTGTTAATATTCTGAATATTACAAAGTACAGGGTGGCTGGAATTCAAGCCTCATCATTGCGATCTCGTTGTAAAACAAAAAAAGTATCAATATAAATGGGTAATTTGTTTTGTTGAATCAATTTGAATAGTCATGAAAAAATTAAAATAAAATCGCGAATATTTGGTTTTTTCCAAAAATCTTTGGGAGTATTCGAAATTTTCCAAATTACAAAACGTCATTTCGTTAGGCATAAAATTGCGCAACTTTGTCATAATTCAACCGACCCTGTATCTGTTTCGGTTTTCGAGATCCCAATGATTAGACTCGAATTCTAGTGAACCTGTACACACAACCTTACCCTTTGTAAAATTATGTGAAAATTACATGGTTCTTCATTTAACAATTATTGACACACATGGAGTAACCACATATTATTTGAAATGAAATAACAGAAAAAGTAAATGAGTTAGTGTTTTTCAAGGTGTTCTCTTTGGTGATCTCATTTGGTCGCTTATCAAAATAATGAACAAAACTTACTTAAAAAAAAAATTAATTGTTCAATACTGGTATTTTATTCCAAAGTGGTTAAACTATGTTTCAATAGCTACACCTCTCCCTGTATTTGACTCAAATCATAAAAAGTGTAAAAATATCAAACTGATAAAAACCTCAAATACAATTTGTGTAATAAAAAAATAATTTTGATTTTAAGGTGGACAATATAACATCCAGACAATTTATTTGTGATAACAGTATTATGCTATTAATTATTGCCACATCCTACTCTTTCATTTCATAAGATTCTGTTTTGAAAATCCCAAATCCATAGACTGTATCACTTTCCTATTTCATACCTACATTCACATTCTCTACTTAAGTACTATCGAGTTAGGGAACTTTCAATAATTATTCAGTGAGTAGGTACTATTATTTTTAATACCTCTTTAAGATGTAGGAGTTGATTTGTTTGTTTAAATTTTAGGTGTATGTCGTAGTAGAATTCAATTTCAAAGGCACAACATATGTATCTGCTGACCCAAAAAAGTGGGTGAAAGGATCACAGTGTGCATGGCTTAAGAAAGATATAGAGAGTAAAGCTATAAAGGAATGCCAGGACCCAACAGCGGATTGGAATGAGATTGATCATGTCAAAATATTGGGTGAATATTGTAAGTGTCACATAATGGAATTCATCAGTATGGAATTTATTTTATTTTGCAGAGAATGGAACGATTTGAAATTATTATTTGTACCACAGTTTAGAGAATATTTTTGTACTGACTTATGAATTAGCTACTTTTAATTGCATTCATTTTTTACAGCCACATTCAAAGAAGCGCGATTCTACGAACAAAAATTCGCTAAAACAGATGATGAAAGTGACTGTTTTGAGAAGACTGCTATGGTGGAGAAGATTAAAAGGAAATCCAAACCCAACATGAGATATAAGGATCCGTCAATTTCACCTCCTCCATCATTATCTCAAGACTCAGAACATAGTAAGTGGAATAATAATAAATTATGCTGTTTCTACTTGACACTGTTTTATCAATGAATTGACACTGTTTTGTTTGTTCATCTATAGTAACCAGCAGAAAGTCTGCACAATTAACATTCATAAAAGTCTGTGCATTACTTGAAACTTCAGAAATCACCAATGCTCCATGATTTTATCAGGGAACTGAAATCACATCAAGAGTAAACTCCATTTGAAATCAAAAATATAGAATAATCTCTTTTCAAAAAGTTGTTGTATATTAACATGCTTTGGGATATAAAGAACAATTTTATTTTGAACATTCCAGGCTTGAGAGTGTGCATTCATTAATATTTCCAATTTTCTAGGAGGAAAATTCAACAGAATATTATTATTTCTCATCAATAAAATGAAGTGCATTTATTTTGGTATTGCCTCTAATCAATAGGAACATAATATATATATATATATATATATATGTTGCAGATAGAGACTGCACTGTATAATGTACCTACTTTTATACATATCGTGCGCTCCGAGCGATAAAAAAAAATATATATATATATTTATTTTAGATACTGACAGCCTTTCATCATTTGAAGATGAAATAATTATTGAAGACAATGCAATTAAAGAACTGGCTAAATCCATTCGGCCCCTTGATGCAGAAATTACCCCAACCACATCAAGTAGCACCATTACCAATCTGTGCCATTACTCAGTCATCTCCAACTAGTCTTGATGATGAGCGTACATTTGGAAGAATAATAAATGAAGCACCCATAATTATTGAGACTACAACTACTGAGGAAATGACAGGTAATGTATATTTTTTTTTCTCATGTCAAAGGAAATATTTATCTCAGAAAATGAAGAGGATTACTGAATTTCATGATTACATTGGTAGAGGAAATATCTACTTGTTTTGTAGCATCTGTTGATAATCATCAATACCTCCTTTTTGATGTTTTTGAAACTTTCGAGATGAAATTCTACTGAAAACAATACCCAGTAGATTCATTATTTTATGACTTTTACTTTCAAGGTGATATCTCCATAATTTTTTCCATGGATATTGGCAACACCGTAGATACCACTGTTACTGAATATTATTCTGTCTATATTAATTATTGTATTCTTTCAGACATGAATCAGATTCTTCAAACATTATTGAATATCAGTGGAAGATTAGAGATCATGGAAAACAGAATGGGCAATATGGAGCAAGTTCTAAATACCAGTTTTTCGGTGAACCCTCAAAGGTCTCAAAATAATATTTCAAAACTGTTACCTGTTAAATCCATCCATGAACTTCAGGAACTTGAGCAAAAATTGGAAGACGATAACAACAAACAACAACTGGTGAGTACTTGAAAGTACAAAATCATATCATTCTTCAATTTGCAGGGTTAGACTTTCACATTATTCAATGTTGGGAAATACTTCTGTATTTCTATTTCAGTTGCAGGTTCTACAGTTTATTGGTGGCTTGAACGAAAAGTCTTGTGTTGAAAGAAGTCTTGAACGTTTCTTCACAAATCATTGTGCCATGTTTTGTAGTTGGACCGGCAAAAAGGTCAACTTCAAAATCAAAGATTTGAAATCCATACAAATTTTGAAAGGTTAGATTTAAGTCTTTTGAATTTATATACAGGGTGGCATAAAAATAAGTGCAAATATTTCAGACACTGAGAAAGCTTGACGTATACTATCGAATGGAAATATGGGGATCAAAATAAATTTTGAGTTTTACACTGTAGCTATTCTGACGTCACATCTTTTCAAATTTCTGTGCTGAAATTGTTTTGAAGTGGCGTACTTAATTTTTTTCTTATTTTTTGTTCAATTTTTGGGATGAACTTTCTCGTTAATTAGGAGAATTAGAAAAAATCTGATGTTATGGAAATATTCTCTAGACAGTATCATATCGATGTGCTGAATATTTGCATTTATTTCAATGCCACCCTGTATAAAGCAAATGTAAGCACAATAGTGTCATAATCAATTATACTTTCCATTGTGAATTTATTGAAATTGAATCATAATTATTAAGTTGACTAATTATAGGTATTCACGTTATTTTTTTGGTTTCAGATGCAGTGAGGAATTCATTTCCATGCATCAAAGATGATGCATTTGAAAGAAATGTTATGGCTTGGCTACAATTGAATCGCTTATTTGTGAAAGGGTGTAAGTCACCAAATGACGTAAAATTAGATTATGACGAATTCTTGTTCTCTGAAGATATATCTTTCATTTATTAATGAACAGATGCAAGTCACTTCCACCGTTAGCAGATAGGCGGCCACCAGAAAATCACGTTTGTTCATAAATGGATATAAGTCGATGACTTGTATCCTTACATAAATTCACATTCGCTGACGCTGACGCTAGTAGCGCCATCACATAAACAATTTGTTTGCAATCAATGTATTTTTTTTTAAAAGTTCTCTGTTGACATGGGGAGAACCGATGATGTTCTGAATTTCAAAGACTGGTGGTCGAAATATTACAAAAAAACATGTCTCTCATTGGAAAGCAGTGGCAGAACCACTCCACGTTCACAGAAGGAGAAATTCGCAGTTTCTCGTTTCATGGAGTTCAGATACAGTCATACAGAAAAAGGAAGTGTCGAAGCATTTACGTATATCGACGGATTGATATCCAGTTCGTTTGTCCTCAGAAGCACAAACACAGAAAAGGTAACATTACTCAAAAAGCTGACCCCGAAAAAAAAATCCAATCAACATTGACAAAATGGCTGATATCAGGAAAGTGATTGGATACATTCCAGATGAATTCAGAGGATTTTATGAGGAAATCATCGGTTGGTCATCCACTGAAAAAGAAAATTAGTTATATCTGATTTTTATGTTGTCAGTTCTTTTCTTGATGTTCATGTTCGTTGATTTTGTTTTTTTCTCAAGATTCGAGTTTTTTGCATGGAAATGATGTTCTTTAGTTCATGTTGTCGTTAAGTTGCAATTTCCGATGAAATAAAATGAATAATGATGATTAAAAAAAATTTTTTTTCATTAATTTGTGAAAGAATATAAGTCAGAGCAATTGAATTGCAAATTACGTATTCCCTTTCCATGTCAGAATCAATCAACACACACAATATGATAGTTGCCATTATGAACAAAAATTCTTCTGCGAAAAAAAATTTTTTTTCCACTCTGTTTGAGTTAGAGACATATTATTATCATTATCTCGAAACTTCAGTTGTATGACTTATACCCTTTCACAAATAAGCGATTCAATTTGCGAAAACACGTTATGAGAGAGGGAAGCAGTAATAATTGATTTTTATCATGATATACAGTGTGACCCACTTCTAATGGAACCACCCCTGTATCTTACGTAATCGTTGGGTAAGGATCCTGAAATTTGCTGGAGCGAGAGATAAACCAAAAATGCACTCTATGGCCAAGTGGGGCCATCTCCAGTGATATACACTGCTCGCCAACAGCCATGAAACTATCCCAATTTCCGGAAAATGATATTAGGAGTCAAAATAGGTCGGAAATCACTTCAGATTTGGAATCAGGACGCCCAATTCACTAACTATTCAAAATTTTCCTGAAAAATTTTCAGTTCGGAAAAATGAAATTTTGTAGCATTTTTTATGGAAGCACCACCGTATCTCACGTAATTGACTTCATCTTTGGACTTTCTCTTCCTCCGGCAAATTTCAGAACCCTACCCCAATAATTACGTGAGATACGGGGGTGCTTCCATAAAAAATGCGACAAAATTTCATTTTTCCGAACTGAAAATTTTTCATGAAAAATTTGAATAGTTAGTAAATTGGGCGTCCTGATTCCAAATCTGAAGTGATTTTTGACATATTTTGACTGCTAATATCATTTTCCGCAAATTGGGGTAGTTTCATGGCTGTTGGCGAGCAGTGTATATCACTGAAGATGACCCCACTTGGTCATAGAGTGCATTATTGGTATATCTCTCGCTCCAGCAAATTTCAGGATCCTTACCCAACGATTACGTAAGATACAGGGGTGGTTCCATTAGAAGTGGGTCACACTGTATGATACATTGAAAGGTAATTCTCCTGAAAATCTTCAGTGCCATGTTGAGACAGTAGAGATCAAGTTGTCAATCTTCAAGATGAACATTCCATTCAATGATTCTTTCGTTTTAGGTACCTGATAGCAAGACCAATAAGCAGATTTTTTTTTAATTTTTACATTTTTATATATGAGAATATACTTATTTGTTTTTTTTTGTGATATTCTGCATATTATAATTAAAGTTTTATATTCGAATTTTTTACTTTTTTTGACCTTCAATAAGACTCATATGGACATTCAGAATTATTAACTTTTCATAAAAGAAGCAAGAATTAACAAACAATCATTTATTTAGAATGAATAAAAGACACTATATATAGATATCTATACTAGGTAATCATCTCAGAAGATTTTTTGGGTTTTCACTCCTTGTTTCTAAAAACTAGAAAATCAATCTAATCTCCATGGAGGACACATTGATATTGAAAGATATTTTCCATATCAAAACTGATCTGTCTCCCATGGTGATTGCATTAATTTTCTATCAATATTAGAAGCAAGTAGTGAAAGTCCAGAAATTCTCCAGGAGTGAACAAATTACAGGAAAATGATATTTGAAATCTTACAGTAATGTTATTGAGAAGTATAGACAAGATTGGTGATAAATTGCTGCTACATAACATTGACTTATGCATACATCAATCCATTCAAGTAGTTGCTGCAATATCATTACAAGGCGGCATTTTTAATATCACATGTGCAATTTTCCTGTACATTATATGCAATGTTGCAGTAACCTTGCTAGAATAATTGTTAATGACACATTCCATTTGTAATATTGCTGGACGTCCGTTTCAGTAGTTGCTGAACCTTTGCAGTAAGGTAGCAGATAATGCTGATGTAACATTACACATTACAATGAAAGGTAACTGAAATATTGAATATATGTTACTTTGCTTAGTGGGTAAGTACCCTCATAATTATCCATTGTTGATCGTTAATTGTTAATTTGATTTAATCTCCAAACCCAGCAAGAGGTTGACCCAAAGAAGTAAGTACAAATGGTATAAACTTGTGATCGAAAATGTATTTTCCGATCATAATATAATGGATTTCATCAATTCCACAGGTGTCATTTCATCTCAAAATAATAATGTGTGAAATTCTTATCCACACATACCTATTTTGAATTCCATGAAAAGCAGTACCATATCAGCCGAATTTACATGCGCGCGCATTCGGGACGATTTGCAGATAGTTGTTGTGTCAGTGGGTTTATACAGCGAATAAGATAAAATAAGAAATAGCATATATTAAGGAATAAGACAAACATTGATGCGTTTATACAGTCAATCAAGAAATAAGAATCAACCAAGGAAATCACGTATTTTTTTGACAATGGCGTTCATGTCTACTGACAGCTCCATGTTTATTGTACTTTGTGCGCCAAAACTTTTAACCTAATTTTCAATTTTCATGTAAGATCGTTTCACATTTCACCGGGAACTCTTTCATAATATTTTTTCAGTAAATTGATTATCTATCTTCGCAACATAATGGATGACGGACTCTTGATTGAGCAGGTATCTTCCTTTCCACAACTGTATGAGAAGTCAGATCCACGTTACAACAATGTGAGGATTGAAAGAGAACGCCTGGAAAACAATCGCGGTAATAATTATAGAGGAAACACGTAAGCAATGTATTCGGATTGTTGCACATTCCCCTAACTATTCATTTTATAGCTGAGGCATGTGAACATAGGTGGAAACTTCTAAGGAATAAGTACACTGCATTTAAGAGGGATTATAAAAACACACCTTCAGGTTCTGGGGGCCTTTGAAGTTACCTGGCCCTATTTTGAGGTGATGTGATTCTTGGATCCTTATCTGTTAACTAGAAAGTGAGTTCATTCATTTGAAATCGATTTGATGTTAGTAAAATATCATAACATATATTTATTCACAGATCATATTCAAACTTGAGTGTGAAGAGGAAGCCAGATGAAGCTACATAGTGGGACTCAATGGCCACAATTTTTGAAGAGGACCTCTCCCAAGAATCTCAAGAAATCGAGACAGAAAATTCTCCAGCTAGAAGAATTGAAAGTGAAGCCACTTCTTCTTGCCAAACCCCCACACAAAATACACAAAAAAGTAATACCACTCTTGGTAAAAGTAGCCAAGGTACCCAATCAAATAACAACAGAAAAATAATTTTGTATGCTAATATTCCCAGGCATACCATTCCTGCCAAAAAAGCAAAACCAGATATATTTGCGAATAAATTGACAGGATGCTTTGAAGCTCTTCAGAAAGCTGTAGACAATAATACTTCCAATCAGTCTGGACAAACTGAGGATGAAAAGTTTAGTCCAAGACATGAAAGTGTTCTCTCCAAGAGAGAGAATAGTCATAAAAAAAGAAATTTACTGTGTTTCAGTAAAACATCTAGAAGAAGATTCAGACTAATACATTTCTCAAATGTTATGTTTCTTTTTGAATATCCATTGTGAATGTGTTTTTATTTATCAAGAATGCATTTTTATTTTTATCCTTGGATTTTTTGATGAGAATATATTTTTATTCTGTTTATATGACTATCGATTTTCATAATCTTCTAATGTGATATTTATCTACTCTGTGATGAGATTAAGGGGTGCAGTTTTATTTTTTTTACTTTGAATCTTATGAACATCACTTGTTAATGATTCAACGAGGTAAGTTTGGTGGATTGGAACCTTGCCTCAATATTACTAGCTTAATACCTAATTGATCTGAATTGATTAAAATCGAGTGACTAGTTTGAGAGAATTTATTTTATAAAATATATAAAGTGAAAAATCACAGACACAAAATCTCAAAAAAAAATAGTCTGGAGCACCTCCCTTATGAATTTTGTTCCACTGATTAGGAAGTGCTCCTTGGGCTCAAATTAAATAGTCAGCCAGTGTATCTCTCTGTTCAAGATTCCTCTTGCCCAAGTGATTTGAGGATGCACGCCCAATGGATGGCAGCTGGATTCCTGGTTCAGATCCATTCAGAAGACCTGTAGGACAGTTCCTCCTCTGGTTGAGTGGAAGATGCTCTTCTCCTTTCTGGATATAATTATAAAGAAGTACACAGGCCATTACAATTTTATCACAGATTGCCTCATTGGCAATAATTGGGTTCTTTTGACGCCGCCACCTTTGGGCCAAGATGCCAAAAGTTATTTCTATAACAATTCTGGCC